TAAGTAATGCAAATTTTGAACTGCGGATAAGAAAACTACGAGGGGTCACTAAATATTTCTGTTAGACTTCCGCTAAATAAATTATTAATATTCATTATTTACTATTTTGCACTCAGAGTCATTTCAAATTTAATTCAACACACTCTCGGTTTGGTTATAATTGTTGAATTATCTGATTAATTCTTACCTGATCAAAGCCAAGAGATGATTTCGCAGCCAATCGACTTCTGACTTGGAGAGTGCGCAATGTAAGGTAGTCATCATGGCTTCTTTCAAGGTCTCTTCAGGCTGCCAGCCCATTTCCTGCACCGTTTGATGGATGATCATCCAGAGATCGTGGGCAGAGCTCAATTCTGCCCAGTTTACTCGGTCTCGTTCCATGATTCGTTCGATTATACGTTGAATATCAGAGACGCTCAACTCCACGCTCTCCGCCTGGTGGTGGGTGGGCTGCTGCTGTGAAGAGCCGGATCCACCGTAGTTGTGACGCTGAGGTGGGGGAACCGGTGCTGAATCAGAAGACTCTACCACGGGCAACGAATTCGGCTAAACCAAGCCACATATATAGAAGAAAAAGTAGTCGTGCCTCAAGCAGCAACTGAATGATTACCTGATTTGTCTTTGCTTTCCAACCTCCACCATCGGCGCTCTTTGTTGTGGGGCTGTCGTTCTGATCAGCGCTGCGGTTTTCGACAATCTGGGCGGACCAAAGATTACCAGCTTTGCCAAGAGCCTTCTTCGATGACAACAAAGTGTGATCATTTTCCACCGGCGGTCCGCTGGTAGACGGTATACAACTGATTGTACCTTCACCAGCTACAGTAAGCTTGTCTGAGGATCCTGCCTCGTGATGAAAAGGGCGATACGAGTCACTATTCGGTATCCGTAACTCTTGGACCGAATCGGCTTCACCGGATGATCGCTGTCCATTCAGCATTACAGCATTTTTAGTAGAGTTGAGTTCCTTGCTGCCTGACAGCCACTGCTGTTCTCTGCGAAGCCTGTCCGCTTCGATCTCTGGAAAGATTACACTATAAGTCTGAAACAGTTGCGCTTAAAATACATTTTATGGCCGTTTGCTTGCATTATTGCTTACATACAATATTTTTCTAAAAATGCTTGTACAAAAATATCTCAATGCTACTGTAAAGCAGAGTTAGGAGTGCTGCCGTCAAGCCAAAATGCGTCTCAATGGGCTCAAAATATAGCATAGCACCCATTCAGCATAGCAGACCCGTCAGAAATGAAAAGTAGCCTCCAAACTACTGGCAGCTTCGATGATGAACTGTTGCTAAATACCAAAAGAAACAGTTCGCCCAACTTTCGGTTGGTAAAAGATGAACTGTGAATACTTTAGTAAATATATCAAACGAAAGATAACAATGGATAGTTAACCGTTTTACTTATCCACCAAAACACAATTTTAAAAAGAAACAAGAATTTTCTACATTCGCCTAAACTTTTCGTTGAAAACGTGATTATGATATGTAATTCAAGATCAAGAACCAATATTAAGATTGCTGAAACCGGTGACACAGTGCCTTATGAGTACAAGATTTTGGAGCATATGTAATCATAGAAGTGTGAAATGTCAAAAGAAACTCATGCAACTTTTGAGCAGCACTGCACGCATTTTCACAAAAAGAGACTGGCATAAACATTGCTGGTAGTTTGTACATCAGCATTAAGTGCACATTTAAGAAAACATATCAGATATAATAACTATTGTGCAATAAACAATAATTATATAACTTTTATGAATACCACAGACAAAGCATAATGGACGAACGAAACGGGCCATTTTTGTTGAGAAAAGCTAACGGTAAAAAACAATGAAAGTTTCTTTACTGAACAAACGAACATTTCTATCGAACGGACAGCGATCACCACCAAGCTGCTGAAAAACTTCCATAATTTCATGACAGGCGAGGTTGGGTATCTGACCTGACTGGCCCTTTGCTCGTTATTAAAACGGTACATCTCCGTTGCGGCATTCTCAGCATTTCAATTCCTTGTGCTATAACATTCAAAATACAGAAGGAAAAATTTCTTCAGGAGGAAGGGTTTTTTTGTTCTCTTCGAATACATATCTGTTCAGTGCGGGGGAGGTAAGGGTTTAAGCGCAACCAATTTTCCCAGTGGAAACAAATTACCCTATGTCCCTCATTTTCATTCTCTACATCCGTTGACGATACCGGTCCGGATATGAATGGAGGCCTTAATTACAAGGACAGACGATTTAGTCTCATTATAGTCGAAGTCGGCGGGATTGTACGTTGTACAACTACCGAATTTGGTCACTCTTTAGAAAAATGGTCTCTAAGGCGTAGTATTTCAACGACAAAAGCTGGCGAGATTAATGCCAGTATTTAAAATAAAGAATAATTCATTAGTCTAAGTATTAACTAGGCAAGATAATTAATAGTGCTAAAAGCACACGTGATCATCTTGTTTCATTCACACAGGCTCCAATGTCGCTGGAAATGATGAAAACGGTCCACGTCTTTTACCGCTTTATCTCTAGATCAGCTGGGTCGGATGGGTTCTTCGCCATTTATAAGGTTTGGAAAAAAATCTTTATTTATACTACTCTAGCGTAGCAACATGCTCAGCAAGATATCTTGAAATGCAGCTTTCCTTTCTTGAATAAAACCCTGGTATTTACCATCATCAACAGTTGCCGATAAAGGCCACTGATGAATTTCGCATGTAAAAGAGAATGGTTCATAAAGCTATTTACCGACTTTAACAGAAGACGTCATTCCTGCACGCATTTCTCTCAACATGGAAACGATTTGCGTCGGTATTTTTAAGATACTCCAAATCGTAGGATGACACAGTTTCAAAAGACTGGCTCACAAAAGCCATGGATTTAAAGAGCAGACAAACACATATAGGTGCTAAGCGAAGCAAATTCTGTTTAGCGTTCGAAGATTTATTAGCGTTTAATTTTTATTCTCGTATTAATATTCCTTTAGTTATTAACTTAGGCTTACTATTTAAATGATCCACATAATACATTATGCAGATTGGGCGGCTGACCTCTCCGTCGTCTACGCTGAAACCATCAAATTCGCATTTAGCCTGATCAGCGAGTTCCTTAGAATGAAACGTCAGCACCGCTGCTCTGCTGCTAGAAAATACCGCAAATCAACAACCGATCACAATGCCTTTAATGATGTTAACGAACCCGTCACTAAACTTTTCATCAGGAAATGTCTTGACGCTTTTCAAGGATTCTTTACCAAATATCGCTAGAATGAGGTCTTCTTCTGTACCCGGCAAAAGTTGGCTGACGTACAATTTCTTGAAACAGTCAGGATCATCTAGCGAGAAAGCAACATAAGAAACATGATCTACATAGCCAAAATAGAGGTATACCTATAATCTTCGAAAACTCAGACTGGTCAAATCATATACCAGCATTCATTAAAGTTCTGAGAGTTTCCACTAACTACTTAAGCTGCGTAGAACGCCAATGCCTTCCATAAAAAAGGCAGTACTTGCTTCTACTCACAGCTCTCCTTCGTTTTATTTGGTGTACACTGGCCTGTCCCGTAACATATGGAAGACTACTGTAAAGTTCTACGGGCGAGCCCTTCCACTGATCACCAGGATAAGTAACAGCTGCACAAAGCTACCGGTTTAAATTGAATTATAATGCCATTTCCCGTTTGTGTCGAGAGTTCTGAGAAGATCAGAAAATTAACATTTTCAAAATCATGTGCGGGAAAGCCTATAAACGTTGACAGATGTGTTTTGAATATCCAAAACTGAACTGTAAATATTTTATTTTGAATTCTGTGCGCTGATAAGGTAAATCGCGCGAGCACATAAGCTTCAACTGAGTGACTGATAATCTTAATTATAATACTGTACAAATGTGAGCAACTAAATTTTAGGTGGCAAGTTCATATACTAAGACGTTCAACAAAACATCTGTATTACATTAACTTCGTGCTAGCGCCTCCGGAACATAGTTTCGAAGACTACAAACTAATGCTTTTGTTGGTGCAATATAAAGACTTTCAGAGTTTATCTTGCCATCTACAAATCTGACGTAATTAACGGTTTAATCATTGAACATTACAGGGAAAATAGGTTGCTAATAGTTTAAAAACACACGATAAAGACTTTCGTCGATTAACGTAAAGCTGTCATATGTCAGCACATCTGGTAGACTGAAAAAATGCGCTAAACATATGCGTTTGTCTCAAAGCTCTTAACAACAAACTCTCATGAATACAGAAATAAACGCTCAAAACTATACGCTCATTTAAAAGAAGTCTTACCCACTTCCCACTTTTCTGGTTGAGATACATCCTCAGATTTAGAAGATCGTCTGCGGGCTTTCTCATTTGATCTATTCAGACGCAACAGCAGTGGCTTGACTTGCTCGTTCGCCTTCACTGCCGCTTCCTCAGTATCGAACTGAACGCTGATACCGCTGAAATTGAAGGCGATTATTAAAAACAGGGCTACAGGAAACATCAGTTAAATAACCCCTGATTATTCTGCTTTATAGAGTACAAGGAACAAATATGAAGGCATTGCATGGCAGAGCGAGACACAGAGAAGCAAACATTTCGGATCACCACTCGTGAACCCAAATAACGGCCGACTAATGAGGCCACGGTTTTCAAAATAAAGTGAAATGTTTATGCCTATTGAGACTAGGGTGCTAAGAGATAAACAAATGGGATGGCAGAAATGATGTCAACTTTGCTTTGATTTCATTAATGAAAACGGGTACAATACGCTATCGTCATGCCATCAAGGATGATGACTCACGAATTACATAGATACAAGATGTTCGGTGATAACGCTTGATAAATGACGTCTTTTAACAAAATAAAATTTACATGTCACTTGAATAATCAATACATAGAAAACCGAGCATACAGTTAGTCATCCATTCGAAAGCAGGATCATATTTTCCCTTATTATCCAGTTAATCTTCAGCTTACATGGCCCTTCTCCTTTCGAATAGCGGAGGCACACGCAACAGACAGAGCTTCCAACTTTCCCGAACAGAGTCTGAGCTTCGGCAGAAGACAACCGGAGTCTGGAACAGACTCCTTACACATATTTGAACCAGGTTAATCTTGACTGTCCCCTGGGCCTTCTGCCGGTCGGTTTGGCAAGAAACAGCTGCTTAGCCTTCCTTTCTGGAGGCATTCG